CCTCCTCTGTGCAGTACAGGGGGCGGCGCCCCAACCCCCCAATCGGCCCTGCTCTGAGCCTGACCAGGGGCTGCACCTAGGGATTGGGCCTGCCCTCTGCGACCCGGAAGCAGGCCTAAGCCAGCAGGTCGTTATCTCCCGAGGGGTCCCAGACTGTGAGAGGGCACAGGCCAGGCTGAGGAACTCCCCCTTCCCCCGAGCGCACAAATTTTTGTGCACCGGGCCTCTAGAAAATCTATAATTTTCATGAACTTTTTACAGCTTTTAGAAATAACTAGTTTTCAAAATGAAACTCTATGTACCATGCTTTCTACTACCAAAATCATACAATTTCCAATTAATAACTCTTAGAAGCCTCGATCCTCAATAACCAAGGAAAGCAAATAATCAGCATTCCTTAGATTGACCCTTCTGGACAGATTTTAAACATACTCAGTTTTAAAGCACATTCTTAACAAAGCAAAAGACCTTATAACAGCACCAAGTCCACTTCACAAACTTCTTCCAAGATAAAAGCAGGCAATCTAGCAATCAAAGCTGAAGTAAGTTAACTTTATCTGCACACATGGCTGTTTTCCCAGGAACTTGTACCTTTAAAGATGGTCAGACTAGAGTTTTTTACCACGTACTTGCATTTCAAAGGTCCCAGGAACCACAGGGGAGCACTGTAGAACATGCTGAAGGGTCTTGAGCACTGAGCACTGCTGTAAATCCAAACCCTGAAGTCCTCCTCCATCCTGTCTGGTGACCTAATGCTCTCAAGTATGGAACCACCCTGATCTACCTCCCCATCCTACTTCAATGCTCGCCAGCACATGGCGTGGTGTAAGCACCAGGGGCAGGCTGTGCCCCAGGCAAGGGCATTCCCTCCCTGGCTCCCCTAACATTCTATTGAAGACCCGAATACCCTCTGGTACCTACTAGGCCACTGCCAGGAGCTGGAAGAAGTCAGGTCTGTGGGGCCAGGCCCAAGGAGGCACTGAGGGGATGAGGGAATCCTCTGCTCACCTATGCCTGGGTCCATCTTGGTAGGGGACACCAAGAACAGCAGATCAACCAGCCCAGCCAGGGTCCGTAGGACTTAGCGTCCCTCTGCCCCCTCCCTGTGCAGGATGAAAAGGCAGGGAAGTTTGAGCAGATCTCTGGCAACAGGCCAGGGTTGGGCTGTGTGTAATGGGTCAAAGTGTGCTGCTTGTGGGGGGAACTCCCAGAGGCAGTGAAGCCGCTGGTCACATACCTTCTCTTGCGTGCCTCAGTTCCTCTCCCTGGGTGTCTAAAACATCCCTGGAGGGGTCAGACTTTGATTACAGTTGTATTCAGGAGTCCCCTGCACATCTTAGGGTTCAACCCCAGACACCTCTGCAAGGTCCTTACTCATGTTAAGGACATTTGAGATTCTCAGACCAGAGGGAGGAACTTGCCTCTTTGACCTTCAGAGCCTGGGTGGGGGCCCAAGCACTCAGTCGCTGGTCAGATTTTGTCCTGCAACTGGTGGGAAGCCTACTGCTTTCTAACCCGGCCCAACAACCAGTTCTGACCCATGTTCGCTTTTAAATGGCCCAAAGGCAGGAGACTGCATTTGGCAAGTGAAAGAAAAATGCTCGCTGGAGACAGCAGCCTGATTAAGTGGCTGATCGACACCCAGCAATGCCTCAAAAATTATAAAGGAAACATGGAAAGAAGTGATAGGGTCTGTAGATGCACCATTTGATGTGGCGAGGTTGGATCCTGGATCGAGCCCCCAAAGCTGATATACTGAATGGTGAGCCGAGGTTTTTCCTGAGGTCGTGCCTTGCAACACCGAAGAATGAGCTCCATGGACCACAAGATTTACGTAAAACTGTGGAAAATTTGTTACAGATTCAGACTCCTCCCAAGGAGACAGGGGCCAATAATGGGCTGCCAGTTAAAGCCTTGTAGTACAGGGGTACACTAGTATATTTGTTAAAAGCCTGCTCTAGTCTATCTGTGTTGTCACCTGTGATCCCTCAATTCTTCTAGCCCAGCAACAGACCTGAACTGTCCCTGTTTCTATGTGTTCTCTGTCCCTGTGCTGGACTCTCCCTGTGTCTGTGTGTTCTTTCTCTGTTCCTATGCTGGACTGTCCCTGTGTCTATGTGTCCTCTCTCTGTCCCTGTGCTGGACTCTCCCTGTGTCTATGTGTCCTCTCTCTGTCCCTGTGCTGGACTCTCCCTGTGTCTATGTGCTCTCTCTCTGTCCCTGTGTTGGACTGTCCCTCTTTTAACCCCTTCCCCGGCAGAAACGTGTAGACGAGTTACAAACTGTTTTCATAACCAGCATCAAAAATACTATATAGAACCAAAATAATTAGTCTGAAAAAGAAACGTTTTTAACAAAAAAAATTTGGGTAAGGGGTTAATGTGTTCTTTCTCTCATGGGCCCTGCCATCTTGTGACCACATGGGGCGGCCATCTGTGTGAGCATGTGACAGTCAATTTGCATATTACCTCTTTATTTCACAGAAAGAAAACAAAGCATTACATGCAATAGGTTAACCTATTCATTTATTCATACAGGAAAACATTTTCCCAATCTATGATACATGTATCAGCCTATGAAATAGAATATAAGAAATATATTGTGCCCCACAAGCATGGCTCAGTGGTTGAGCATCAACCTATGAACCAGGTCATGGTTCAATTCCTGGTCAGCATTCATGCCCATATAGCGGACTCGATCCCTGGGGGGAGGAAGGGTGCAGGAGGCAGCCAAGCAATGATTCTCTCTCATTATTTATGTTTCTATTTCTCTCTCCCTCTCCCTTCCTCTGAAATCAATAAAAATATTTTAAATACATTTGTAAACATTGCTAGCAAAGTCTGTTTAGAAAAGTCTAGAGTGAATGTTTAAATAAAATGGACTATATGTGTACAACATGCAGAGAAGTCTGTGAACACTCTTCTAATTAGTGCCAAGTGGGTTTTGGCACAGTGTGTGTTTGTCTATTTATTTTTCTTTCTTTTTTTTATCCTCTCCAGAAGATATTTTTCCATTAATTTTTAAGAGAGAGTGGAAGAGAGAGGAAAAGACAGAGAGAAACATCAATATAAGAGAAACACATTGACATATTGTCTCCTGCACACGCCCTGACTAGGGCCTAGGCCAGGGAGGAGCCTGCAACCGAGGTACAGTGGGGCCTTGACTTACAAGATTAATTCGTTCCGTGATGGAGCTCGTAACTCAAATTACTCGTATGTCAAATCAAAAAGTGAACAAGTGAGACACGTGATGCTGGGCTGATGTTGTGGCATTCACTGTGACATTCACTGCGCCAACTAGCGGTGGGGTATCTGAAGCTGGCTCGTAACCTGAATTTTAGCTCGCAACTCAAAGCAAAAAATTGGCCAAGAGACGGCTTGTATCTCGAAAAACTCGTTAGTCAGGACACTCGTAAGTAAAGGCCCCACTGTATGTGCCCTTGACAAGAATCAAACCTGGGACCCTTTAGTGTGCAGGTTGACAATCTATCCACTAAGCCACACTGGCTAGGGCTGTTTGTTTGTCCTTTCTTGCAGATTATAATTTCTAAATGAAACTCCTGGAGATTAAAAATGGCAGCAGAGTAAGTGGAAGAAACTCACAAACATGTTTCCAGGACCAAACTGGAATTACAACTAAAATACAAAGCCATCACCCTGAGTAATCAACTGAAGACTCGCTAAAGAGAACACTGACAAGGATGGAAAGTGGAGACCACATAGAGCCTGATAGGAAGGGTCAAGGTGCAAAAGGGCTGGACGGGCTTCCACAGATAGCAACTGAAGTCCCCAGTAGGGAGTGTGCAGGAGGCAGCTGATCAATGTTTCTCTCTCACCAATGTTTCTAACTTTCTATTCCTCTGCCTTCATCTCTGTAAAAAAAAAAAAAAATCAATAAAATATATTTTTAAAAACACACACACAAAAAACACCAGAATTGGAAATACCTGGCCCAGGGTCAGGGATTTATTTAAAAAAACAAAAACAAAAAAAGATGTAACAGTGCAAATAACAATAGCATGAAAAAGGAAAGAAAAGCCATGAACAAGAACCAGACAGAAATGAAGAATGATACATCTGATATCAAGAACACACTGGAAGGTATTAAAAGTAGACTGGAGTGCTTGCTTCAGCTGCACATATACTAAAATTGGAACGCTACAGAGAAGATTAGCATGGCCCCTGCGCAAGGATGACACGCAAATTCGTGAAGTGTTCCATATTAAAAAAAAAAAAGTAGACTGGATGAAGCAGGGGATCAAATCAGCAATAGACAACCACTGGAAGAGAAGGTAGAAATAAATACCCAATTAGAGCAAAAAATAGAAAAAAATAATTAAAGAACAGGAAGATAGCATAAGGAAGCTCTCAGACAACATGAAACATAACATCATCTGCACTATGAAAATACCAGAAGGGAAGAGTGTGAACAAGGAACAGAGAACCTGTTTAAAGAAATAATGACAAGCTCCGGTGAGGCTGAGACGGCACCAGTGAGGTTGAGACGGCCCCGTTGAGATTGAGACGGCCCCGGTGAGGTCGAGATGGCCCTGGTGGGGTCAACACGACCCCAGTGAGGTTGAAATGGCCCCCGTGAGGCTGGGACAGCCCCTGTGAGGCTGAAACGGCCCCTGTGAGACTGAGACGGCACCTGTAAGGCTGAGAAGGCCCCTGTGAGACCGAGACAGCCCCTGGGAAGCTGAGAAAAATACCACATGAACTCACTCATTCATGGATAATAAGAAACATTATAGACTGATGAACAAAAATGGATACAGAGGCAGAGTAGCATTGAGTAGAAAGTCCAACTACAGTAAATTTAAGGGAGCCTGGGGACAACATGACATGAAACAATGTCTGCATATGTGTGCTAGAAGGAGAAGAAGCTGAGCAAGGAGTGGAGAACCTGTTTGAAGAAATAATGACAGAAAACTTCCCCAACCTGGTGAAGTAAAATATCACACAAGTTCAGGAAGCACAGAGAGCCCAATCAAGATGAACCCAAAGAGACCCACAGCTAGACACACCATTACTAAAATGGCAAATGTTAAAGACAAAGAAAGAATTTTAAGTGCAGAAAGAGAGAGGGAAAATCACCTACAAAAGAGTTACCATTAGAATGTCAGCTGACTTTTCAACAGAAACACTTCAGGCAAGAAGGTAATGGTATGAAATACTTGAAGTAATGAAAATCAAGGGCCTAAATCCAAGACTACTGTATCCAGCAAGGCTATCATTTAAAATTGATGGTGAAATAAAAAGCTTTCCAGACCAAAAAAAAAGGTTAAAGAATACATTACCACCAAACCAGCAATACAAGAAATGTTAAAGGGACTGCTTTAAGAAGGAGAGAGAGAGAGAGAGAGAGAGAGAGAGAGAGAGAGAGGATAATAAGCAAAGAAAATAAAAGTAAATAAATAAATCCCTATCAATAATAACCTTAATGTAAACAGATGAAATGCTCCAGTCAAAAGACATAGGGTGACTTAATAAGAAAACATGACCCATATATGTGCTGCCTATAAGAGACCTACATTAGAACAAAAGACTCACACAGACTGAGAGTAAAGAGATGGAAAAATATATTCCATGCAAATGGAAAGGGAAAAAAAGCTGGGGTAGTGGGAATCCAAGATGGCAGCCAACAGGATGGCAGTGAGGGGGAGAGAGTGAGTGAAGTAGCAAAAGGGGAGTGCATGGGCATGTGGTGTGTGTGTGAGGGAGAGGGGGGCGGGCAGCTATATTCCGCAGGACTTTTGGGGGCTGGAAGACCAGGTTCCCCTAGCCAGGCAGCCTCTCCTACCACTACAATTTCTCTGGGGTGGGGGGCAGCTCTGCCACAGAGACCACACCATCTTGAAGGGGAGCCCAGCCACACCTCCACCCAGGAGCCCTCGGACACCACCCGGGACCCCACAGCCTCGGCTGTGGACCCACGAACACTGAGACTCCAGCCTCCCCAGCTGCAGGCTCCTAAAAAGTTTGTCTCGGGGGGAGACAAAATGGCAGTCGAATAGATGGTTGTGTCCTGTGCCTTCTCATGGAGCAGATAGAAAACACAACTAAACTGAATGACATTCACCCAGAATTGGCAAATCAAACACAGCTGGTGAGATAATCTGTGGATGCAAAGGACAGAAGACACCTGGAGAATGGTAGGATTGGGGATCTGGGTTGGAGAAATGGAGGCGAGCAATTTGCCAGAGAAAGAATTCAGTGCAATGGTCATAAGGACGCTGAAAAGGATGGAAGAGAAATTCAACAATGTGTAGGAATCAAGAGGAAATGAAGGAGAACCAAACAGAAATGAAGAATGACATAGCTGCAATAAAGAACACAATAGAAAGCATCAGCAGTAGGCTAGAAGAAGCTGAGGACTGCATTAGCGAGCTAGAGACAAGGTAGGAGAAAACACCCAAGCAGAGCAGCAACTGGAAAAAAAAACTTAAAATGCAGGAGGCGAGCCTAAGGGAACTTTGGGACAACACAAAACGAAACAACATCCACATAATAGGGGTGCCAGAAGGAGAGGAAACTGAACAAGGAATAGAAAACCTGTTTGAAAAAAATGAGAGAAAATTTCCCTCAAAACCAGATAAAGACACCACTAAGAAAGAGAGCTACAGGCCAATATCACTGATGAACATAGATGCTAACATTCTCAACAAAATTCTAGCAAATTGGATCCAGAATTACATTAGAAAGATCAGACACCATGACCAAGTGTGGATGCAAGGATGGTACAATATCCACAAATCAACAAACATGATACCATTACATAAACAAATTGAGAGACAAAAATCACATAATCATATTAATCAATGCAGGAAAAGCATTTGACAAAATCCAACACCCTTTCTTGATAAAAAACTCTCAGCAAAGTGGGAACAGGGGGATCATAGCTCAACATAATAAAAGCCATATATGACAAACCCACAGCCAACATCATAATCAATGGGCAAAAACTAAAACCATTTCCCCTAAGAACAGGAACAAGACAGGGATGCCCACCCTCACCACTCCTGTTCAACAGAGTACTAGAAGTACTAGCCGTTGTGATCAGACAACAAGAAGAAATAAAAGGCATCCAAATTGGAAAAGAAGTAAAACTGTCCTTATTTGCAGATGACATGATACTGTACATAGAGAACCCCAAAGACTCTATCAAAAAATTACTAGACTTAAATAAATGAATTCAGCAATGTAGCAGGATACAAAATTAACACCCAGAAATCTCTGGCCTTCTTATACACCAATAATGAACTCACAGAAAGAGAAACTAAAAACACAATCCCATTTACCATTGCAGCAAAAAAATTTAGATACCTAGGAATAAACTTAACCAAGGAGGTAAAAGACCTGTACTCAGAAAACTACAGGACATTGAAAAAAAGAGATAGAGGAAGACATAAACAGATGGAAGAACATATTGTGTTCACAGATTGGTAGACTCAATATCATTAAAAAGCCCATACTACCCAAAGTTATTTATATATTCAATACAATCCCTGTTGAAATATCAACAGCATATTTCACAGACCTGGAACAAATTCTCCAAAAATTAATCTGCAATAAAAAAAAGACCCCTAATAGCCACAGCAATCCTGAGGAAGAACAAAGTAGGTGGGATCTCAATACCAGATATCAAGCTATATTACAAAGCCACTGTTCTCAAAACTGCCTGGTACTGGCACAAGAACAGACATATTGATCAATGGAACAGAACAGAGAGCCCAGAAATCGACCCAAGCCATTATGCTCAATTAATATTTGACAAAGGAAGCAAGAGCATACAATGGAGTCAAGACAGTCTCTTCAATAAATGGTGTTGAGAAAATTGGACAGGTACATGCAAAACAATGAAACTAGACCAACTTACACCATACACAAGAATAAACTCAAAATGGATTTTTTTAAAAAAAACTTAAGTGTAAGTTGTGAAACCATAAAAATCCTAGAAGAAACCACAGGCAGCAAAATATCAGATATACACTGACAAGGGAAACAAAGGGAAAAATAAACAAATGGGACTACACAGAAATAACAAGCTTCTGCAAAAGAAATCAGCATCAAAACGAAAATGGAATCCACTGCATGGAGAACATATTGCCAATGAGAAACCTGATAAGGAGTTAATGTCCAAAATATATAAAGTGCCAATACAATTCAACAAAAGGAAGACAAAGAACCCACTTTAAAAAAAATGGGCAGAAGACCTGAATAGACATTTCTCCAAAGAGGACATACAAAGGATCAAGAGGCATGTAAAAATGCTGTGTCTCTAATCATCAGAGATGCAAATTAAAACCAGACTGTGGCATGCAGAGGGAGGCCCAAGGGGGTGGGTGGGAGTAGCCAGAGAAGGCGATGCATCTGTGCGAACCCGCGGACTCAGGCGATGGCGCGGGGAGGGGGGTACCTATAACACTTTCGGCAATAAAGCGGGTTTGTAAGGACTGGAGAGAGGTTTGCCATCCATCTTAACTGGAACCTTATCCTGAAAAACATGGGGAATCGCTGAAACATGTTTAAGCAGGAGGGTGACTGAATCGCAGCAATGTTCCCACAGTTCACTCTTTGGTGAAAGCCTGTCTAGTTTTTGCCATATCGCCGTACCAAAATTAAGTCAATTTACTTAATTTTTAAACCAACTTTGTTCTTTTATGAATGTATTTAAAAAGGAAGCGTCTTGCCATACCACCCGAAATCAACGTGGCTATTCACGTGGAACCGCCACTCGTGTCAGTGCACCGTGCCGATGCCGGGCGGGCTGTAGACACGGGTTCCGCCGGACGCCCAGGGGCAGGTGTCGGCTCGGGCGCCTCCGCCGCCGGAGGACACGAGCGCCCCGAGCTCGAGCGCAGGAAGCCCCGGGGCTG